TTGTGGACACCCCCCCCCCCCACACACACACACCAGCAGGCTCCAGAAAGCTGCTACTGCCCGGCCCAGCAGGAAACCTGCTGTCCAGCACAGATACTCGCCCCATCCCCTCCCCAAAGCTTCTTGTCACACCAGGGGTGGCCCTGTCCCTCCACCCAGCCCTGTGGCCAGGACAGCTGTCTCTGCCCAGGGGTCAGGCCTTGGCATGCCTGTGCACCAGCCAGGAGTCCTGGCACCCTGCCTCCTCCTTCAGCTTGACCCTCCCACCTGGGCACATGGGGCACTGGGTGAGAAAGCAGAAATGGAGAGCAGTGTCTAGAAAGCCAGGTTCCCAGCCAGACGGGACCAGAGGCTGGGGGCTCGGGAGCACGGCTGAGCAGCCGGAGCGCTGACCTCGCCTACATGAGACGGGTTCCAGCCTCAGCTTTTCAAGGAAAAAAACAAAGTTTAATCCCTTAGCTCAAAATAATTCTTTTTTCTTTTTAGTCAGTCATGGGGCTTGAACTTGGGGCCTGGGTGCTGTCCCTGAGCTCTTTTGCTCAAGGCTAGCACTCTACCTCTTTGAGCCACAGTGCCACTTAGAGTTTTGGAGTTAAGTGTCTCACAGACTTTCCTGCCAGGGCTGGCTTTAAATCATGATCCTCAGATCTCAGCCTCCTGCGTAGCTAGGATTACAGGCGTGAGCCATCAGAGACTGGCTCAAACAGTTTTTATGAGAAAAAGTCTGCTGTGTTCACATTAAGAGATCGAAAGCATATTACTTTTCAAGGCCAAAAGGCAAAGTTTTACAAGAACAAAAAAAAATACTTGAATAGAGTTCCCAAATGGTCAACTAAGACAGAAGACGCCTGAGGGGAATGCAGGTGAGTGACACTGGGGACAGGAGGTCACAGCCCACAGGCAGTCCTCCAACAGCTCCTAACACCACAGCTTCCCATCTCCTTGGCGATGGAAGAAGGGGGGGTGCCAGCTCGTCAACACCGGGTGCTGAGGCAGCCGGAGCTGTGTGGTGAGACCCTGGCTCATAAAACACGAGCTGGGATGTGGCTCTGTGGCAGAGTACTTGCCTTGAATCTACAAGGCCCTGGGTTCCATCCCCAGCATGGCATTAAAAAAGAAAATTACAGGCCTGCAATTGTAGCTACTCAGGAGGCTGAAATCTAAAGCTTGTGGTTCAAAGCCAGCCCAGGCAAGGAAAGTCTGCAAGACTCTTATCTCCAATTAATCACCAGAATACCAGAAGTGACACTGTGGCTCAAGTGGTAGAGCGCTCACCTTGAGTTGAAGCTCTTAGGGACAGTGTTCAGGCTCAGAGTTCAAGCTCCACAATATCTCTCTCTCTCTCTCTCTCTCTCTCACACACACACACACACACACACACACACACACACACACACACACACACACACACAAACAGATCTAGAACGAGTCACAGGAAGTGAGGTAAGCTAGGCTCCAAGAGACCAACAGCACATGTGTTTCTAGATCTAAGACACATACCTATGGTGACATATGTAGGACTCCACGCACGGGTGCATGTACAAGCTGATGAAAGGCGGGTATGCTCAATCAAGGGATCATGTATCATGTATCAAGACAAATCCCAAGAAGCGGAAACATGTTTTTGGATGGGGGCACAGAACTGAAGGGGGAAGGGTGAGAAAATGCAGTTGGGGAGAGGGAGATGGGGGAGAACGAAGGAAGGGGTGGACTGACCAAGATGCACTGTACTCATCACCTGACTTACACAACTGGACCCCTCTGCACACACTACTTAACAAAAAAGAAAAGAAAAAAAGGCCCAACACTGATGGCTAACACAGGTAATCTAAGCGACTCATGAGGCTGAGAAAGTGGAGGATCACAGTTTGAGGCCAGACCAGGGAACAGAAGTTCTAGAGATTCCCTCCGCCACCCATAGCTTGGTGCAGTGGCACACACCTGTCATCCCAAACTACATGGGAGGCTGAGATTGGGATGACCTTAGGACCACACCAGCTCGGGCAGAAAAGCCGCAGGGCTCCAGCTCAGCAGAGGAAGCTAACCACCGTTACTCTAACCACTGTGGAGAAGCCCAACACCAGGCATGCACCAGGAGGAAAGTGAGGTCTTCTCCCCAGAATAACCAGCAAAATTCTGGGCTGGGGGGGGCCTGGCTCAGCAGTATCATGCCAGCCTAGAAAGATCAAGGCCCTGCACTCAAACCCCAGTTCACACAGGGGGTCTGGGCCTGTTCTGGGGGTTCTGGCTGTCTGTGAGGGCTCTGTAGGAAAGACAGCGGTAAGCAGTACCAGCTGTGCCACTCCAGCCCCGCCATTCCTGGTGAGAGGTAAGGAACTTCTAGGATGGGCAGAACTTTCTCCCCAGGGCCAAACCATCTGCACCTGGAAGGTGTTCCATACACATTTCCGTGACCACATGCCTGCCGCCTCTGGTCAATGCAACTGCTCGTCTTTGTTCTGGTTTTTCTCTCTGCTAAGGATGCATGGAGCTGGCTACAGCATGGGGTGAGGACAGTGGTGCACCTGAGAAATGCCTGTCACGGTGCCCAAGGGAACATGGGTCCAACCCAGAAGGGATACTGAACCAGAACCTTTAAAAGCCTTGTTCTTTCAAAGAAAACTTTGGAGTCCAAGAAAATGTACTTTGCCAAGTAATTGCATTCTCCTTCAAATTACCTTTAATATGCAGATTTTAAAAGATACAAGCAACTCCTGAAGGCTGAGTCAGGAGGATGTGAGTTGAAGGCCAGTCCAGTCCATATAATAAGACTCTGCCTCAATAAACAACAACACATTTCATTCTAAACAAGAAAATGTCAAGGTTCCATCCATCTCAGCATTCCCTCTTGGTCCTGTGGCTCCTCATACCTGTCAGAGCTCTGGCCAGTCACGTGGCACCCCAGCCACATGGCGCCTCAGCAACACAGCTCCTTTCTAGCCTTCCCAGGCCCTTCCTCACTCAGCCATTCCACTTTGTCCCCCAGGACCTGAGCCACACATGCAACCTGCACAGACTGGCAGCCTGTTTCTTGTGTGGTCAACAGCCTAGTGGGATAATCACAGGACCCGACCAAGGCTGAAAGTTATCCTGGCTTTAGACTGGGACCCCATACAATGTGCCCGGCATGTGCCTGAAATGCCACGTGCATGACCACAGCCACCCACGCCCAACACATACATCCCACTGGGGCCTCCTCTGTACCTCAGAGCACCTTGGGGCATGGTTGCCCACCCCCACCCCACAGTGGCCTTAAGGGGCCTCAATATTTTCAGGCAGAAGTTGTGGCTAGTGATACAGTGAGCCGGGTCCCCTGGGGTTCTATGGGTCCCTTCCCCGCCGCCCCCCCTACCCCCCAGGATGGCCCTGAGAGGAAAATACAGGAGTTGCCAGTCACTGCCCTCGCTGCTTGCACAACACCTCTCCTTGCTGCGGTGGCCAGCAAGAGGCACCAGCCTGGGTCACTGGTGGTGGCTGGCCAGAGGCACACGCCACCTTCCACCTCTTCCAGACTCTGGCCCCACTGGCCATGGAAGACAAAGTCAGCATGTGTTCTGGTAAGAAGTGGTACATGGCATTCAGAGTAAATGCTCAGAGGCAAGGCTGGGCCCCTCTAGTGGTGACTGGCCTGGCCTTCACACAGCCACAGGCTACCTCCAGCCCCCACAGCACCAGGCCCACTCTGATTCCACTGGGGGAACTCTGAAGCCCTCAGTCCTGGCCCTGAGCCAGGACCCCGGCCTCAGCCAGCCTCCCTGTCTTGCTCCAATCCTACCAGCACGACAGGTGGCATCTCTGAGCTCCAGTGGAAAACCCTGGACTGTGAGGACACAGGATAGGAAGATAGCCAACTTCTGGCGTGGTCCCAGGAAAGACCTGAAAGGGTTCAGCCTGGGGAAACTGAGTCAAGGATCTGGCCCCTCCAGGTAGCCTGAGGTAGGAGGCAAGTAGAAGGAGGGGTTTCTGCTCTGGTTACTCATGAGAAACCTCAGCATGGACACTAGCACCCCCATCTCCTCAGAGCCAAGTACCTGTGACCCTGCCACACACCAGGATGGGGCAGCAGCAGGTGAGAGGCATCTCCTGCTGAGGCCCTCCACCAGAGGCCCTCCCCCAGAAGTTGTTCACTGAAGGTTTATGTGATTTCCAAAGCGATTCAAGACCGTGTGTCCTCCACAGCCACACCACCTCATGGGACACCGGCTTCTCAGCCTTTGCTCCCACAAGCAGCTTTGTTTCCAGACCTGCTTCTCTATCCACCTGGCAGAGCATGTAGCCCAAGGAAGAGTTAGAAGCCTGTAATAGCTGCCACCTGCTCACACCCAGTGGAGGGAATGGGTGACGTGGTGGGGGCCCAGGCCGCCCCTTGGCCTCCAGAGAGCAACTGCACATCTAGGTACCTTGGCTTGCTTCTGGTCCTCAGAGTCCCCGCAGGGACCCAGGGGAGAGGAGGAACCTGGGGAACTGACTGGGCCACTGCTGCCGGACACTTGGGGCGGTATCCCCAATATGTACAGACAGGAAAGCCCTGCCACCTGTGAAAAGCGCATTCCCAATGCCCTTTCCAACGTATTTCAAGAAACACAGGCATTTCAAAGGCCATCCCAGATGAAATGTCAGCTTTGCAAGAAATATCGGCATGATGCCACACTTAGACATCCGCAGCCCTCAGACTCAGCTGCCGGGCACCAGTGAGGCCACCCAGGGCCCACAGCCCCACAAGAGACTTCGCTGGCAGGACACCTGACACAGGCCAGGGGTTGGGAGGGGTTTAAGAGCCTGACCTGTCCCCATCCGTGGCCACGGCGGGCTCAGCCCCACACCTGCACGTGCTGAGACGGGGCTCGTCAGCCCCGTGGGCGCCACCGGGGCACATGTAGCTGTACAGTGTACAGGGCAGTACAGGGGATGGCACAGGAGGAGCGGGAGCTGGTCTCGTCACCAAGGGACCACTTAGGCCTGTGTTCTGATCGCGCTGGGGGTCCCCGGACCCCCCTCACCTCTGGAGTGTTCTTCTTGAATTCCCGGCTCTGCTCGATAAGCCGCTTTCGGGACTGCTCACTCTCATCTTGCCGGTTTGCCAGTACTGTCGCGGTGGCATCGAGCTCTCTCTGTTGAGACACAAGCAGGAGAGCAGGGTCATAACCGAGCTTCTTCATAAGCAGAGGAAGGTTGGGGTGACACCAGGGTACCCCACACCCATCCCCCAGGCACGGGCTGGCCACACCACACACCTGATCCATTTTAAGCACAGCATGTGTAGAGAAAGCTCCCAGCCCACACCCCAGGGGGGTCATCGTCCCCACCAGGGCCCCAGAGGTCCGTTCTCAGCAGCACCCTTCCAGCAGCCCAAGCCTAGCAGCCTGGGCTTCCCTCAGGCCTGGGGCCATGCCCAGTGTCAGGAATCCTCCCATTCACAAACTCCTTTCTGCACGCTCTCGCCCCACACAGGGGCCTGCTCGTGACCGGTACCTGCAATCTGCTTTCAAGAGTAACCTTTAAAAGATCCCAAGAATAACTGCTTGTCTTGTGAACTTTCCACAAGTGAGTTGCCCATTGGTGCCTTGGGGTTCTAAGGAGCCCCGGGAGCCCCAGGAGAGGCTGGCTGGGGTGTAGGGCTCTGGAGAGCCCCTGGAGGGGATGGCCCAGAGTGCAGGGCTCTAGAGAGCCCCGGGAGCCCCAAGAGAGGCTGGCTAGGGTGTAGGGCTCTGGAGAGCCCCTGGAGGGGATGGCCAGAGTGCAGGGCTCTAGGGAGCCCCAGAAGCCCCCAGGAGAGGCCAGCTGGGGTGCAGAGCTCTGGGCTGGGCTCTGCATACCAACTGCCTCCCTGGCCTTGGGGCCAGGGAGCCATTCCAAAGTAGCCTGTGCCATATGGGTCCAGATGGTGTTCCCAGCTCATGGTAGGAGCACGGACATGGGGCTGTGGCCACCAAACATACACAGACACACAGACAGACAGACACACACACACACACACAAACAGCAACAAACCCCACAACCACCATTATCTTCCTGAGCCACGCCAGGACACTGCTCTTCTGGCCCTCTCTATGGTCGGACCCATAGCCCACAGCCCGCAACCGAAGGAGCAAGGACCTCAGCAGGCCCCAGGCTGACAGCCCAGTCAAGCCAAAGAACAACCACCGGCCGCGGACACCGGCCACTCGCTGCCTCTCCTCACCACCCTGCTCCCTGCTGATGCTCCCTGGAAAACACCAAGCAGCCCCCAAAGCCAACCTGGGCAACACCTCACTGAGTACCAAGATGGGATGGAGCATGGCCAGACAACGGGATGACAGATCTGGATCAAACACCCAGAAAGCAGACAGGTTGGGGCGGGAGGGGCGTGGGGATGGGACAGAGGAGGGGAGGGAGGCCTCCACCTCACTCTCCTCTACTGTTTCTCTGTTTCTGGCACTAAAGCAAATCTTGGGCAAACGAGTCCAAAAGAATGCTGTGGGCTAGCATTCAAGAACAGATGTCGAGCTACTGCAGAGGAGAGGGAAACACGGGCCATTTTGACAGACCACATTTGAAACACGTCCCGGGGAAAGGAAGGCAGGGGAAAAGAGCAACCACGGGCAATGTGGCGGAGTGGGAAGGAGAGGGAAGAGGCGCAGCCACAGATAAGCAGAAGGCTTTCAAAAATATAAACAATCTGGTAAGGAGGAGGGCTTGGACGGCTATATTTAAGCCGCAGCAGAAGTTATAAAAGGAGGCTTCGAGAAGGGGGAAAAAAGCCAATATTGAAATATGACAGAGACGAAAAAAAGTTGTTTTGCATTCCAATCACACACAGACAAGAAAACTTAGAGAAAAACACTGCGCGCTCCGGCTGCTCTCGGAGGGGACCCTGCGGCCACCGCAGCACGGAACCCCCGGCCCAAAGACAGTTGCTGGCTCCATGCCAGTGCTGGATGCTGGAGTTCAGGGGTGACTTGTGGGGTCCCGGCCTTCCCTCCTAGCGGGGAGAGAATAGGAGAAAATTTCTTGGGGGCACTGCCAAGTGCATGCTGTGCCCCTGCTCCCAGCCCCCCAGTCTGCCCCTCTGGCTCTCAGGCTCCTCCCTGGGCAGCCAGGCCAGGGAGTCTGGGACAGGCAGGTGGCTGGGTGGAGATCAGCCCACTGAGGGCAGGCTGCAAAGCCCATGTCCCCAAGGCCACCCGCCGCCGCTGGCAGTCAGGGGCTCTAGGGGGGCCCATGCCACACCCCTCCCCACACCGGCAGACATATGCAGGCCCACGCTGGGAGCCCATGGAGCTTTAGCACAGTGTCACCACCCGCCACCACGGAAACAGATTGGCACAGCGAGGAGAGAGTGGAGCTCCCACCAGCCCAGATGGGGCCAGTCAGATTTGAGGCTCAATGTTTGATCAGGTCCCTTTCTCTCTCTCTCTCTCTCTCTCTCTCTCTCTCTCTCTCTCTCTCTCTCTCTCTCTCTCTCTCACACACACACACACACACACACACACACACACGCACACACACACACACACACAAAAGCACACGCACACACGGAAACACCACTACTAGATCCTCTGGAAGGAGAGAAAGATGCTTGTTCTCTGGGGGTAAAGACAAAGCAAAAGGAGGAGACAGCTATTCAATGCTAATACTAAATACTGTTTAATATCCACCGAGCCCGCCTATACTCAAAGTGTCAACTCTAACAACACATTAACAAGGCAATCCAGTGTGTCAAGGAGGGCTGAAGGTGGAGGCCCAGACTACAGAACCCTCAGCCTGGGAGTCATGGGTCTCACGGAAACAGGAGCACAGAGACCTACACCTATAAGGCATCAAACCACTAGAAACACCCCCATACCCAGCCTGCACCTCCATACCCAGCCTGCATACCTGATGCAGCCATCCTGTATGGCTACCAATGGTTTAAAAAAAAATTCTTTGTATAGTTGTACTAGGGTTTGAACTCAGGCCCTCACACTTTCTAGACTGGTGCTGTACCACTAAGCCTTGCCTCCAGCTCTCTCCTGAGCTAGTTGTTTTTTGTCTATGGTGATAAGATGCACACATGCACATGCACACGTGTACTACACACACACACCTCACTCTCTTTCACTGAGACAGCCTCACAGATGTCCGCCTGGCCTGCAACATTGATCCCCCTGACTGTAGCTTCCCAAGTAGCTAGGATGACAGGCACAAGTCACCAACACCCAGCTGTGAAGCAAAACAAAACACCTCCCACCTGGCCATACACGTACGTCAAGATGTAATACAGCGAAAACAGCACTGAATGAAACAACTGGAACACATGAGAGATTGCCAACTGTCAACCGGCCAGCATCAGATTTGTGGCAGGAAGGGCCCTGGTTTGCACAAGTATCTTTGGCTGATTGATTTGGAACAACTGAACAGTCTCAGCCATAATCCCAGCTATGCAGGAGGCTGAAGCAGGAAGACTGCTTAAACTGCGGAGTTCAAGACCAGATTGTCAAAACAGCTGTTTCTAGTGCATGAGCTGCCCTCTGGCTGCAGGAGGGGAGCCTGGCCGGGCAGTGGCACAGCCAGCCCGACAGGGAAGCTGCCACCCAGCACAGCCAAAGCCCAGCCACAACCCTGCCATGGAAGGGCAGGAAGGCCTGAAGCCCAGAGTCCAAGGCACGGAAAGTTGGCAGGGCTGGCAACGAACAAACTCAGAACCTAGCACTCTCACAAAGCCGAAAGAGCTGGGTGTGTTGCTGACAGCACACATGGGCACTGAGGGCGTGTGTGGAGACTGAGGGCACGCATGGACACTGGGGACACACATGGGCGCTGATGGCACACATGGCCAGGGCCAGCACTCCTGCCCTGGAATGCCAGGTGTGGGCTGTGTTGTGCTCCCCAGCCTTCCTACTCCACCCACAGCAAGCCCGCCCTTCCTGTGGGCCTCCCCCCTGTGGATCTGGCGTCTGGTGCTGCTGGGGGCAGGCCAGTCTCCTGCAGGTACCCAGTTCTGAGATGCTTCACTCCATCCTGACAGATCCTCAAAGGGCAACTGTTTCTCTCCGTTGGGATTCTGTCTTGGCCAAGGACTGAAGATGTATTCAAAATGAGCAAAGAAAAGCTACTGTGGAACTGCATGCCTATGTAAAAGAAACCGGAGCTGCACATAGTAGAACATGCCTGTCATCCCAGCACTAAGGGGCTCAGGTAGAGCATCAACAGTTCAAAGCCTGGGTGCATAGTGAGTCTCCGTCTCAAAAATGAATTGTGGGTGCAATGAGAGAAATTTCAATCTAAAGTCTTAACAGTGACCAGTTGCGTGGAATGCCTTAAGTGCACACACGTCAGCCCTTCGGCGCAGGGGAACAGGCCCAGGAGGCTGACACATCTCATGACTCTTTCTCCCGGGCCCCCTTCCAAGCCATAGCCAGGGTGGGTGTGTCTTCTCCTCCTTGGGGAGCCCTGGATGAGGGGGGACAGCAGCCGGGGCTGACATCAGCAAGTCAAGCAGGGTGCTCTCTTTTCGAATCCTCCTTAATTCAAGGTAGGAGCTCACAGGACTCCACTTCAGGGACCCGTCCACCTGGCTCCTGGCTCTCCCCCAGTCCCTCCTTCCCCAAACTCTAGTGTTTTGCTCACTGTGGGACCCCAGCCCTCCAGAGAGCTGGACAAGTCACAGTAAGGCAGTGAGAATTTGGCAAATAAAATACTAAGCTCAAGAGGGAGGCAAATACATGCCCATGATGACCGACACGCAGGAGACACGCGTGGGGTTCACTCAGGAGTGCAGCTCCAGGCCCAAATCAGAAAGAGACGCTGCAAGAAGGGTGGCAGCCAGGCCCTGAGGCCTGGGGTGTGGCAAACTGTCCAGGAAGCAGGAAGGGCAGGAAGGTGAAGTCCAGCAGGGATTTGGGGAAAATCACAGGACAGACCGACTGCTACGAGAACTCCAGGCACGAGTGGCCCAGACACCCCACCTTGCCCTCCACAGAGAGCCCATTCTCCTCTTCGGTTCTGAAGGCACTCGTGTGTCTGACATGGACGGTTTCTTGGTTCTAAATCCCACAAGTTCAGCAAGAAACACTGGACACAGCTGCCCCAGCCAAGGCTACACTGCCAGGGCAGTGACACTGGCTGGGACGTGGAGAGGGGTGGGGAGGAG